CTTGATTCAATCGGATTTTTGCTTGAATCAAAAGGAAATCCGCTTAAATTAAGCAGCTTGGTTTTCGATTCATGCTAAAGTCCGATTGAATCAAGCGTATTTTTTCTTGTCAAATTTTTTAAGAGTCCAGACTCTGGGTCCAAGAGACTTTTTGCCCCAGTGTATGGAAAAAAGGTTCAAGGGTTGATAGTAAAATAAGGGCTGAGTTCAGTTTTTAATTTTTTTTTTTTTTTTTTTTTTTTTTTTTTTTTTTTTTTTTCAAAATTCTCAACAAAAAACTTTTGTCAAAAATTTCAAATGGTCGTGACTTCGTGAGATCGAGTTGCGTGTTGTTGTTGTTGTTGTTTTTTTTTTTTATTTGACCTTTGACTTGTAGAATGAGGCAAAAACTCGGTTGCCTACGGTCTCTCACCTGGCCGGAAACATCTCTCAATCGTTATCAGCACTCCCGCGTCACAACCCAAAAACCCAACCTCTGATTGCATAACCGAAGGAAGCGGGGAAAAGTTCGAGCAGAGGCGCTCCTAGGAGAGTTGGCGCGTGAAATTATTTCGCTCGAAAAGCGCTCCGGACAGCGATTATCTCACACTACGAGTGTCCGATTTTATCATCGGCGGCGGTAGAGCACGGCCGACCGGACCGGCCACACAACGCACTCTTTCCTCGCCTATGCAGATCCGCGCTCAATTGTTCCAGTGCCGATGTTACACCATCCCGGTTCGGGTTCAACCCGCGGGGGAAAAGGAAAAGTTAAGCCTGGAACTGGTTTTGCCACGTCTCCGGTACCGGTTCTGCACACCGAGAACCGCGCAACCACCTCGGATCTGCACTGTGAGATGCGGGGTTTGTCCGCGAGGTCGGGAGAATAGCAAAGCTGCTCTTAATAGCCGGCCCAAGTCTAGGTGTTTAATATGTGTAACAAGCCGGGAGTCTGGTCGCCGGCCTGCTTGCCTGCCTCTTTCCAGAGTAATTATCGACCGGCGACGACTTGGTCGCTCGGGCTGGGGAGTGTGGATGCTGCGCTGCGTGGCTGCCGATCCAACGTCGAGACGCTGGACTGTGATATCCTTCGGAAACAGAAAGCGATCTCGCTTTCTTCGGCTCCGACCGCAGCCACGCGCTCGAGCCTTCGCGGAATCCCGCGAACCTTCAGCCGAGCCCCGGACATCTGCACAATCGTGCTAAACTGTCGTGCTGAAGAAAACAGGGTTGCCACGGTCAGGGAATACCGGAAAACCCGAGAAATGTCTGGGAAATTTAAAAATATCAGAAAAAACATGGAAATGTTGGAGAAAATCGCGAAAATGTCAGGAAATAACAGCTAAGTTTCCTTTATTTGCTGTCTGGAATGGGTTTAACGTTTAGAATAACACATTTTGTCTGAAAACTATTCCTAATAGTGTCATAGTAACCATTTGGCATGTCTTCAATTGTCAGGGAATTTCAGGGAAGTATCAGGGAATTTAATTTTCTCAATTTTGTGGCAGCCCTGGAAAAGCGCCGTATGAACATTCGACAGTTGCCAAATTTTCTCCGATAAAATGCTAATTTTTGAGGAGCGTTATGAATGTGTTTCCTTTATATTTTTAGGTACTGTAGATTGAATTGCGAATAAAATTATTTGGAAAATTTGGAGGCATTTCCAATAGTTTTCCATGAAGCTCTCATTTTATTGAAGGAAATTTGGCAACGCCGGAAGGCTCAAACGGCGTTTTTCCTCAGCAATGCAGTAAAGCAGGGAGCCGTATGAGTTTGCAGACGTTGCCAAATTTCTTTTGATAAATTGAGAATTTTCCGGGTGAAACTTGAAAAGGAAATGCTTCTCTTCTCTTTTGCCAAAGGGAAAGAAAAACTTTTAAGTGGGAAAATTACCCTACGAGCCGACAAATTTCCTCACGCCACGACGTGACGTGAGCCCGAGCGTTTCTCGGATCCACGGAAAACTAAAACGCAGGGAATTCGAAACTTTGAAAACACCATGAATCCCGGAAACCCTTTAATGGCGCGCCAGATCGGTGTTAAAAATGTAACCGGTCATATTTTCCCCCTTTAAGGTAGCCCAGGGCCGTAACAGCGGCGACAAGGAAGTAGAACCGGGTAATTTCGCGAACCCAGAAGCCTTAAAATTGCCTTATACACTCGGAAAATGTCTTCACTTTTCAATGACGTCACAAGTACACGTTGAGCCAAAAACGAAAAAATCAGAGCGCTTCAATGGTTTTTCTCTCCTTTTTTTCAAAAGGAAAACAAAAACTTCTTCGTGGAAATATTACCTTACGAGCCGACAAATTTCCTCACGCCACGACGTGAGTCCGAGTGTTTCCCGGATCCATGGAAAACTAAAGAACGCAAGGAATTAGAAACTTTGAAAACACCATGAATCCCGGAAACCCTTTAATAGCGCGCCAGATCGGTGTTAAAAATCTAACCGGTCATATTTTCCCCCTTTAAGGTAGCCCAGGGTCATAACAGCGGCGACAAGGAAGTGGAACCGGGTAATTTCGTGACGCTCCTGTTTTTGACGGGCACGTGGACCGGAGCGAGCTGTGAAGCGTTATTACACCCTGTCGAGGGTTTCTCTTGCAGTCGGAGACCTGGAGTCACCCGCGCTCCCGATTCTGCGTGCATCTGGAAAAAGGAAGAAGAAAAAAAGCGCAGTAAATAAATTACATGCATGTTGTCATGACCAAGTGGCGAATCGTGATTCGGTTGCACCCAGCACAGGGTGACTCGGAAGTGCCTTGCTAGGAGTCTGTGTTCAAGATGCGAGTCGTTTCCTGGCCTCTCATGCTGCCGTGTTAAGGAAAAACGCCGTTATTTTTGAAAAAAGTTACGCGTAGTTTTCCTTGAAATTTTCCGATACACTTGAAAAAAAACCACATTGGATCTAGAGTCCAGACTCTTACAAACATCGACAAGAAAAAGGTCCCTTGATTCAATCAGATTTTAGCTTAAATCAAAAGGAAATCCGCTCAAATTAAGAGGCTTGGTTCTTGATTTAAGCTTAAATCTGATTGAATCAAGAGTTTTTTTTTTGTCGATGTTTTTAAGAGTCTGGACTCTAGATCCAATGTGTTTTTTTTCCAGTGTGCTAAGGAAAAACGCCGAATGAACATTCGAGAGTTGCCAAATTTCGCCGAGTAAAACAAATAGTTTTGAAGAAAGTTACGAGTATTTTTCCTTGAAATTTTCCGATCTTTTAGACTGAATTGGGAACAAAATTGTCTGAAAAATTGGAGGAAAAATATTCAGAATTTTCCCGGTAAATTTGTTGGTTATAAAAGAAAATATGGCAACGCCTGAAGGCTCATACGGCGTTTTTCCTCAGCACGGTAGTGTAGCGCCTCCATTTCGATTGTCAAAGTGCAAAACCACGTATCTCCTTCGCGGTGTTTCAATATTTTCGCTTCTAGGTATATTATTCTTTCAAATAGAAACAGGTCAGCTTTATATCTCAAAAACGTAGAATTTTCTGCTATCAGAGAAGAAAAGTCGCCGAATTTTTCGAGATATTAGTGTAGCTAGTTTTTCAGAGAAAAAATAAAGTATGACATCTGCAATGTTGCTAACAGAGATACGCGGTTTCACACTTGGACCATCGATTTGAAGCATCAGTAGAATCTCCCCACATATAGTCCTATCGCATACAGCAAAAGCTTTGCTAAGTCGAACTACGGTTAGGACGAAATGCCGATCAAGTCGAATTTTCTTTCGGTCCCTAAACACGCCCATAAGTTAAGAGGGGAATCGGTGGAGACAAATTCCTGCCAAAGTCGAATTTTTTGTCGGTCCCTATACAATTCGACTCAGCGAGCTTTGGCCGAACTTTTGAAATAAGCGCTTCAATTACAAGCGCACTTTTGAAAGCTGCGAGATTTTTGCTGTGAACTTACGGGACGCTCTGTGTCCGTATTACCTGTGCCTTAACTCAGTTTCGCGACCGGACCATTTCCTTTAAGATCCCGCTTTGACCCCTTTCCCTCCTCCCTTTACCCTCTCTTTCACGCCTCGCTTTTGCCTTGTCCTCTGGTCGGTTGACTTCCCTCTTCAAGGATCTCCTCGTAGTAAAATACGAGTGAGTTTTACTTTCCTTACGTTCTGTCAGTTCCCAATCGCTCTCATCGCTCTATCAGTGCAGCGTCCGGTTTTTTATGCGCGGTTTTTTCCGTCCAGTATTTTTTCCCCCTCGTGATAGTCCTTCTCGTTTCATCCCTCGCTTCCTGTTTTCAGCCGTCTAATTGGGTGATTTTTCAGTATTTTGCGCTGATTTTGTTACATTTCACGAATCACTAGAAGTTTCGATTATATGGGGTCAGAGTTCGCGTTAAATAAGTCAGGCATGGGAGAATCTCCTCGTTCGGGCGCGCAAAATCAAAATCGCGTATAATCAAGACTCTAAAGGTATTATTTTTCGCTGATTTTGTTGCGTTTCACTGATCACTATGGACATCACAGTTTCGATTATATGGGGTCAGAGTTCGCGTTAAATAAGTCAGGCATGGGAGAATCTCCTCGTTCGGGCGCGCAAAATCCAAATCGCGTATAATCAAGACTCTAAAGGTATTATTTTTCGCTGATTTTGTTGCGTTTCACTGATCACTATGGACATTACAGTTTCGATTATATGGGGTCAGAGTTCGCGTTAAATAAGTCAGCAGCGGAAGAATCTCCTCGCACGACCGCGCAAAATCCAAATCGCGTATAATCAAGACTCCAGAGTTATTATTTTTTTTCTCCCTTCCTTCTTTCTCTCCGTTCCGACATTCAATTTTTATAACTTTTTTAAATTATCTTCATGCTACTTCAGCAGTGTTTGTTGGAGTTCATTTTATCATACGTGAATATATTCTCGAACTTTTCATGAATGTACGGTCATGTTGGAAAATCTCAATATTTCGTGGTATCATGTATCTTTTTATTAATTTTTGGACTATTAATTTTTAATTACTTGGACTTGAAATACTTTCCATTCTGATGAACTATTTTCCTATTTGTTTCAGGGAGCTGGACAAGATAGACTAGGGATTTACATAAAATCAGTTGTCAAAGGTGGTGCTGCCGATGCAGTAAGTATTCATTTTCTTGCCCCATTCATTTTTTCAGGTGTCTTCTGAGGACAAATTTTGTTGTCTCAGAGTTTGAAATGATTTTAGGATGCAATGAAGCCAAGGAATCATCAAGTTCTTTCCTTTCTTAAGTTCTTCACCCTTTTCTTAAAGGTCATCGATTTGAATCCTTTGCATCCTTAATTGAACATTTGTTTTAAACCTTGAAATTTGTATTATCAAGCGTCTCAGCATTCTAGTTATTTTAGTGATTCTGATTCATTTTATTTACTGAGTAATCCTTTCGTGTTTTTTTATCATTCTTGTCTAGAATTTGAGAAGTTTAAATCTCAATGACAAAGTTTATGGCGTGTTTAAAATAATGCATGGAATAAAATCATAATTTTTTTTCTCTTTCAGGATGGAAGACTTCAAGCTGGAGATCAGTTGCTGAAGGTTGATGGTCAAAGCTTAGTCGGCATCACACAAGAAAAGTAAGAATTTCTTTGGTTATCATGAAAAGATTGAGCAACTGCTTGATCTGCGACCTGGTGGGTCGCGAGCGAAAATGGGAAGGCTCCAAAAACGAGTTTTAGTATTGGGGAGGCCGGAAAAGTCGCGGTAATTTATACGCATGGAGCCATGAAGAAGTCATCACGTTGAAATTTCTGAGTGAACAGAGGTTTTTATAATGGAAAGGCCAATTATGATAATGCGAAGGGAGAAGAGAGAATTGTTTGCATCTCTGGGGGACATAGACATATTTTGTCAGGCAGTTGAACTGGCAGGCCTCTCCTGATGGAGCAAAAATATAACCAGGAGTGCAAAGCTATAATTTTTGCAGTCTCAGTGTTTTTTGTAGTTCCAATTTCTCAAAGAGCTTAAAAATTTTTGTTGAATAGAACATTGAGGTCAACTTGAAGTTAGCACATGGGAAAAAGGGTTGACAGTGCAGCCTCTTAAGAGGTTACAATGACAGGGCTCAAAGCAGGATAACTGATATTTCTCTAGATCTTTCACCTCGTTTGTGAATTCATCGAGCAGAGGAATACAGTTCTTAGGGAAAATGTCAAAATCTCAGTTTTGTAAATTTATCGAGCAGAGGAATACAGTTCTTAGGAAAAATGTCAAAACCCCAGTTTTATCCTGCAGTGCATTGTGCACCCTTTCAGGAAAAGTTTCTATTCTTTTATTTTAGTAGAAAATTGATGAAAAAATTCAGGATTTTTGCTTCGCATAGTGAATGGTACGTAATTATTTTCCAGTGTTTTATGTGTTGTTTTGGAAGAACCTAATGTTATTTTAATTTATTTTCCAATTGGGGAAAGGTAGAATTATTTTACTATAGACCGCATTCAATAACCAAGATGGCAGATTTTTTGTTTGATGACTTTGTTGTTGTTTTGATGACTTTAAAATGCTTTAGATTCGCCAGATTCAGCAATTCTAAAAAAGGTTGCATTTTCTGTTCTAAATTAATTTTGGACAGAAGTTCTTCTGAGCTTAATTTAAACTACCTATTTTATTTTAATTTTTCAATATCCTACTTTCAGAGCTGCCGAGTATTTAGTCAAAACCGGACCAACAGTGACTTTGGAAGTTGCGAAACAAGGTGCAATCTATTACGGCCTAGCCACACTACTCTCCCAGCCTTCGCCCGTCATGAGTAGAGGTTTGTTTCATTCGTAGATCCTATTTTCTGCTTCCCTCAACGGTTGACAGACTTACTATCCGAAAATGGGGACAAGATATTTGGGCATCAGATATAACATTGTGTATTGTCTAACAATTTCCTTTCATCCCTTGTAAATTTTCACTAACTAATGATCCTCTCACGGGTTTTCTTTTCTTTTACTAAATTAATTTCCTCCTAAACTTGAAATAAAATAGAAGGAAAAACAGAATCCCTTATTTGTAATATTGAGAAAATTTGTGTGCGCACTGAAACAGAAATCATTACATTTTTTTTCCTTTCTCAATATGTTCCTATTAACACTATCTTGTCTTCCTCATTTTGTCTGGTCTTGTAAATGTTGAAACTCGTGAAATATTTTTTGATAAAAATTGTCGAGAAAATGTGTAATTTTTTTTCTCTATTTTTGTGGTGATAATGCCACGTTATCACATACTCTTTCTCTCTTTAATCCTTTATCTCCAATTCTTGCTTGTTACATGCAGCGTCTAGTCGAAGAGCAAGTATGGACTACATGTATCGTAGACCATCGCAAGATAATTTACCTGCAAGTATGTCTTTGACAAATTTAGGCTCACACTCTCCATATGCAGATTGGACTAACAGTCGAACAGGTCTGAGTTGTCTAGGTCCTATTCGTGAGCAAGTAGTTCCCCGTAATCCGAGTGGTTTGATGAGACGAAATAGTTTGATGAGATCTAGTGGTGTTGGTGGTGGCTTAAAAGCCAAGAACGTTTTTACTCCACGTTATGGCAATTTTCTGCACCCTAGCTCGGCTCTCTATGGTGTTGGTGGTTTGGCAGCTTGTGATGATTTTGATTCAACCGAAATTAGCGCCTCGAGTCCAAAAAGTGAAACTAACAATAACGACACTCCCAGTAGTAATGTTAGTAATTTTTTATCTGTCCCTATTCCTAACAATCGTCCAAAATGTTACAAAATCCCACCGAAGAATGAATTATGCCTTTGTGAGGATATATTCCAACAACATCAAGCGAAGCTTATCGACTGTGATCATGAAGATGCCAAAGCAATGAACGAATACCTTAGAGCAAATCGAAGTGATGAAAATAAACCTATAGACGTTTCAAGAAAATCCCCCAATTTAAATACAAGAAATAAAAGTTTAGATAATATCTATTGTGATCCGGACAATGTAGCGTTTAAATTAGATGAAAGCAGAAGATGCAAAAGTGACTTGAATTTAACCTGTGATGGATCTAGTAATGTAAAGTATGGTGTTGGTAAATTAATGCAAAATGTCAATCAAATTAACACCAATGTCATGTTTGGTAAAAGACTGAGATTTGGTGGAACTCTGGAAACCATTCCATCATCGGCATCAACATCAGAATGCTGTAGTGAGACCGACAGTGCAATACACAAATCAAGCGATTCTTTTTCAGAGAATTCTTTAGTGAATTTGAAGTCTGGCTCGAATCAATCCCTGCAGTCGTTTGAAAAAGCAAATGACAAAACTCGTAAATTAAGCCTTGAAGAAAGAGAAAAAGTACTCAAAGAGTTAGATGAAATTGTTTCAGGTGATTTCCTGAAAAAAATCCAGAATTTTAGTAACCCTCAAGCACAAAAATTGGAAGAAACAAATTGTAGTCGAAACCTTATGAATGACCAATACTTTACATCATTGATGAGAGTTAATTCCTCCAATTTTAAGGAGTGTGAACCCTCTGTGAACAAAATCCACCCGATCAAATCTGTGAACATCATACCGTCAGACAGTTCGGACGAAGATATGCCTGATATCACATGTGGTAGAGTTGCAGCACTAGCCAAGCATTTTTCAAAATTAGGTGAAGCAGGCATCATTAAAAATTATGCAGCCACCAAGAATAAAAACTTGAATAAATGTTACGGATCACAACCTAATCTCTCTTCAACTAAAGACCTAGAATTTTGTTCAGTTCTGGATAAGCAGTCAGAAAAAATAACCTTACCACTTTTGAAAGATGAAAATAAAACTTATGAAATTATTTTTAAGCCAGTTGGTCAGAGTCTAAAATCTGTAGGTTTCAGTATGGACAGTCTGATAGATGTCGGTCAAGGAGTCCTCTTGAGAGAAGTCAAAAAGACAAGTAAGAAAAAGGAAAAGCAAGATCAACCAAGAAGTATACCTGCGAGTGCGACATGCGATGTAATCTTTCCAACTTGTAACAAAGAACCATTGCTTCGAAAAATCCGTTCCATTCAAGTTGACGAACTTGAAATGGGCAAACAAATCAATACCTCTAAAAGCAATATGTTTTCTAAGCGCTTTAGTCTAGATAGTTTAAATTCTAACAAATTAAATAGCGTTAATAGTGATATTTTTAAATCCACCCCTAATTTTATGAAACTCAAGTCTAATTTAGAAAATTTGAAAAGTAAAAGCAATAGTGAAATTGACTCTGAAGGAGCTTTAGAAAATATCAAACAGTTTCTAGCAGATGAGGCTCTCCTTGCCAAGCAAATTAAAAGCGGAAGCTTTGAGCATTTTGAGAGGCATGGCAGCAACTTTTTCAACTCACGTCAAAAGAGTCATAGTTTTTGTGTGGATGACAAATCGCGGTTGGAAGAAGTTGATGAATCTTCCTTCGACGAAATAAGCAGAGCAGCATCAGCACTGAAAGATTACGAAGCTCACAAGAGTTACATGCTCAAGAAATTAAAATCTTTTAAAATTAGTATTCCAGAACGAGGAAAGTTAACCAAGAGTAATTCCAAATTAAAGCGAAGTAGTAATTTTGATGAAACTAGCGGTGGCAGTACAAAAACAAATGCAGTGCCACTCAAACCCAAACATCTCGTTCGAAATGAAACAATCAGCTGTGATAAACCCAAACCGAAGTGGGAGAAAACATATCAGACCATAAATCAAGAAAAACTCAAAAGGTGGTTTAGTGTCAACACGGATGAAGCTAGTAGTAACTTCATATCGGGAGAAAAAGATGTCGACAAAGAACCTCTGGGGAGAAGCGGCTCCAGGCGCTTGAACCGGCCTCATTTGTCCAAAATCAAGAAATCTAAACGCCGTACACTGGAGAAACAACACACTTTCGTTATAACTCCGATTAAAGTACCAGAACCCCTCAGAAACACAAATATCTGTACTATTAATTCCTCTGAAAGTGACGGGAGTCCGGTTACTTGGTGGCGGGGCCCGGAGCAGCGGCGGAAATCTGACTCGGACATGTCGAGAGTCAGAGGTGCCAGCTTGGACTACAGCCGTAAGCTGTGAGAACTGATCAATTGCTTATTAATGTTGTTTAAATGTTGCATCATGCCATAAATATGCCTGGAAACTTCTCTTATTTTTGCATGCAAGGATTTTTCGCATGACTTTTTTCTTCTTTTTTTTCGAACAATAATCATACAAATTATGGATAGCAGGCAAACAGCAATAAAAGCCCTTTACTAGGGCGCCCTTTGCGTTATCATCGCAATGAAGCGCAGGCATATTATCATCTGACACGAGCGATTATACGACTCAGAGTAAGCAGAGGAATCATTAGCCAATGACTGATTCATCAAAATTCATTTCATGTTACAGTTTTTTTTACAAAAAATTAACTTACAATGAAATCAAGACACTGGCGGCCCCCTTGTGTTCCTTCACTTTTTCCTCATGTGCAAATTCAGTAATTCTCTCAAAAATACAATCCAAAATCCCTTATTTTTCCTCATAATTTCCGCCAAAATTGCCTCAGTTTCTGAATGAGATTCATCACTGTTTGTGAATGTCTTCGATCACTAGCTGTGCCTCACTTTCATTGGTTTCACAAATCGCCCTTTAGAACCTTTTTTTTCCACCCCTGTAATATTCGTTTTACTTGCCATCGATGAAAATTTCAGTTATCATTTTTCTTTTTTGTAAACGTCTCTTTGACCGATTCCAAGTACTGTATTTTTTCTGTAGCAGGATTATTTGATTAATTTTGTTTCGTTTCCTTGATTTGCAGTGGTTTTTGTGTGTGTATCATGTTTTATTTTGATTTTGTTTAATTTTCCTGTACTCCAATTTTTATTACTCCTTGTACCGCCCTCTCCTGCAGTATATTTTATTCCGTTTTCTTTTGCGTATCGTAGTTTAGTCTTTAGAAACTTAGATTTTTATCAGAATCCATTCTAAAGAAATGAGTTACTTTTGTTGTCTCATTTTTTTAATGTAATCATAAAGATCTATAGATCTTGGAAATTTATAAACCTGCAGCTAAATTATTGAAAGTATGTCGGCACAACAAGACAATACGAAGTTCTATCTTAACGACGCAATGTCTTGCACTCCGATGTCTTATTGTGCTGCCATGAAGTTTCAGTAATTGGTCCCTATGATGATTAGGTCACTTAGCTTTTCCTTGGGGAACTAATTGTCAAAATCAATTGTCATCATTAATAATGTATTTTTTGTTTCACTGAATTTTTAGGCTGTCTCTTATCTTTTAACGTCTTTAAGTAACACAAACTGAATACAATAAAGCTCCTCTAAGATATGACAGACTTTAAGCAGAGCAAATGGTTCAGTCAACCCTTCCATTATTATTGTTCAGAAAATGCTCCTCTTTGTAAATTTGTTCAATCACTAGGATCACTTTAAATCATAGTTTTTTTGGACATCATTAAGGGAAAAATGTTGATTAATCTTATAATTTTAAATTTTGCTCCCCCCCCCCTGAAAATGGGAAAATAACTGCAAAAATTTCCAAAAATACTCTTCCAAAACATTCTCTAAACAAACAGTATCTGAATTCCAAGCCCAAAGGAATATATTCTTTCATCGGAGTGACTAACTTTTTGTCTTTCTCTATTTGCAGCGGGCCCACGCAGGATGAGCGAACGGGATTTACCTTCCCGAGTTCTCACAGAACAATCTCAGAATACTCGCGGGCAGCTTCCACCTCACGTGCCCCAGATCCACAGTTCGAAATCAGTCCCTTCCCTACACAGTAAGTTTCAAAATGTACCCTCTTTTAGGTTTGTTTTTGCTCAGTCATCTTGTAACAGAGTGTCTACGTGGCTGGAAAACCGAGAGCTCTTATTAACTTGGGCAAAGTGGCCATATTCAAGGAAAACTGGGATAAGTAAAAAAAAAAGATTTAAGCAAAGGAAATAAGTAAAAGGCTTGAAACTTTGAGAACCTTGTGAGCCTGAAGAAAAATTCTCAAAACGCCGTGAACTTTGGTACTTGACAGTTACCTCAGCCAAAAATTTTCAGTTAAGAGTGCTCAGTTCCAGTGCTAAATTGTGTCTTTTCTATCCACAAGTGGACTTGTAGGAAAGTTTAGGAAAAGACTGGATCCACAAAATTCAGCAATTACTTCAAACCCTGAAATCCTGGCTAACTGGGAAATGTTATATTTGCAATATTGGCCAAGCAGACAGAAAAATTTGAAAAGACTTGAATTTTCCCTTGCACTGGATCTTGTGAGATCAACATCAAGATCTTGACTAGTATTCTTCATCTGTATGGATTTAAGCTCATTATCTATGAGAAGTTTCCTTCTTCTCCTTACTCATTAACTCATTACTTTTAAGCTCATTTACTATATCATATTTGTATTTCTCTTTTACAGGTGCTAATAATGAAGTGCCTCCCATACCTAGATCCAACCAAGAAGCATTTAATCAAGGGTACACCCGCACATCCTCTACCAATAGTATTCCGCAATCAAGAACTTTGCGGTCGAGGTAAGACTCTATTTTGAAGTTTTTCTGAAAAACGTTACTTTCTAGTTAATTTGACATGCAAGAAGATCAATTTCGCTACCTATGCAGCCTTTTGGAGTAATTTCTCTTAATTAGCATTGAATATAAAGAATGATACCTCTGTCGGCCAAGTTAAAGGCTATATCTCTGATAACAGGTAACTGCCGCAATAAGTTGCACCGAATACACTTAATGTACTATCCTCTCGTGAAGTCAATTAAGTAACAAATGACTAAATTACATGAGGATCAAGAGTTGCTAATAATTGTAGGAATGGCATCAAGAACAATTAAATCAATTATTGGTTTGCTCATCTGAACAATAACAAGCAACTATTGAAGCACCCTCTCTTTCTGTTGAAGCCTGTTTGTATCCTTTTTAGTGAGACATAACTCCAAATTTGGGAAGAATATCACAGTTTGAAAACGTCCGTGGGTGTCATGCCTTGAAATGGCAACACTCACTCCTTTTTTTTCTTATTTTTTAAAAAGAAAAAAAATGGGGTGCCCCAGGTCTCAAATAATTGAAGAAGCAATAGGAATAAAAAGACCAATCCCCAAGGCTGTTAGCAATATCCTGTTTTGCCTTATCATTTATTCAACAAAAAAAAAAAAAAAAAAATAGGTGGGCTTATTCAAGTTCCTTTTGAAAAGTGAATTGGAAATAATTTTTTTTTTTTTCTGGGCGTCAACATAATTGCATCATAAAAGATTTGTACAAGAACTGATTTTGGCTCCTCCCTTCTGTTGTCTGGACGTTTGAACAGCCATAGTCACCTTTTAATTTAGAGTCTCTCTAAAGTCTGCTCCTCTTATCCTCCTCTCACAGTCTCTTATTTCATTTAAATTTTATCTTTCCAGGTCGAGCCAGAATCTGAATGACTCTCGATCAATGAACAATGCCTACCCTCAGGGGCACCCACCAAACAACGTAGGAATGCCGCATCACCAGCAGTTGACTCCCAACTATCCACCTGTGCACTCGCCCCAACAGCAGTACACTCCCAACTATCCTCACAGTCCTCCTCATCCAGTCGGACACCCTCCTAATCATCCGATGAATCACTCGGGACATTACGGAGGTCATATGCCAGGTCACCCTCAACAACAGTATACTCCAAACTACCCTCAAAATCCTGCTGGAACTCCGCAGGGTCATACGCCCAACTACCCTCACAGTCCACCGGGACCTCCCCCTCAACAATACTCAGCATCAATATATGCGCAGAGTCCTCCTGCTCATCCGCCAAGCCACCTGTCGGCTCAGCATTCTCTGAACCAATCTTCCCAGGAAAACGGAGAACGCTTCTATCAGAACTTGAGCGTCTACAGGAATCAAGAAATTCGACAGAATGGTTATATCCCGCAAAACACAAGCTTGAATCAGACAGCTTCAAGTATATCGAGTCCAGGGAACAACGTTCATGGAAACCTGCCTTCACCTACGAAGAACAAGTAAGTGATATTTTTACGAAATCGAGATTTCATACAGCTGATCATCAGATGGAATTCATCTGACTCAGTTTGAGCCAAAGTTGAAGGGAAGCAGTTGAAACAAGTTATTGAAGAAGAAAATATGAGTATCGTACAGATCTAAAACAACAAGACCTTGTCTTAAATAAGCACTGTGGGTCCTGGCTGTTAACTTCCTTCAGCAGATAAACTGTATCAACAGATCACTTGCACTGTGATTTTTACCCACTGCAGAAAAAAACTTGCCTTTATATTTTGCAGTAAAAAATTAAATTGGTTTGGGTTATCTGTGGGCACTAGGTAGTTTTTTTTTTTTTTATGTTTGAGGAAAAATGGAGGGTGAAGTGACTTACAAATGAATGGTCTCGGTGAAATTAAATTAAATGGAAAGGCAGATAGCATGCTAGGAGACAAGGAGCAGTAAATCACTGAGCACATTTACAGGCAAGAGACAATACAAGACGCATATTCATTTGACATCTTTTCTCGCCAGCTCCAAAGATTTGTTTTATGAAAGCTTATTTATTTATCATACTTTAGTACATTAAATGCATTACTTTTACAGGCCAAAAGCGCGTGTCTAGATTATTTTATATTCAACTATGGTTAAGTCAGTAACTTGATCTATGTAAAAGAATATACTGCAAATCACCCACACAATTTTTTAAATTAACAGGATTTTTTTTATTATTTTATTTTTTTATTAAATATTTTTGATCCTCTAGAAATTCCTTCAGCGAGTAAAGACTTTCCCTTGAGATATTTTTTTAATTTCCTCAAAATTTTGAAACTGAATTTCCTCCTTTAATGATTACCTTTACCTGTGGAAGGACCGAGTATTGTGGCGGTTAGGCCTCAGAGCGCCATAGAGCGCTGTGAGAGCGACTCTTATGTATGTATGATTACCTTCAACTTTTAGTAGATTATTACAGTAGCTAAAAATACATTTCAACTCATTCCGTATTCTCCCTTTCTGTTTTTGTGTAGGTACACTGCAAGTAATGCAGACCCTCCTAGAGGCTACTATCATCCATCTTCTCCGGGTAATCAGCAACCTAGACAGTACCAGTTTCAAGGAACGAATCCGTGGGAGCGTGAAGAAAGAGAAAAAGTAAGTAAAGCAAGTTTTTCCTATCTGTTAGCAGTTTTTTCTTGGAAGAAGTATTGGCATTTTCGTCTGCTGATCTAATGAATTGTATTTTTGCCAGGAAAAAATGAAAACAGAAACAAGAAAATCGAAGTTTGATGAACTTCCTTTGAAGTAACAATTCCAACCGAAAGTTAATTAAGTTTTGATATCAGTAAACATTAATGTTGTGAGTACTTTCGACAATGTCCAAAAAGCAGGTCATAAATCATTGTCTCCTGTCAAAGATTCGAATCTTGTCTGAGCTGTTTCAGTATTTCTACGGAGATTCTATCTTTTCATGGGAGAACTGTCGGGTATATTAGTCTGAAAATTTCAGACTCTTTTTAGGAGGGTGAAAAGAAAATCACCAGAAACTTCAGGAAATTCATGCCACGGCTTTCCATTGTATAAATAAAATATAAGTAAGAAATACGGGTAATTAAGTCTCATTCCTCCATGCAGGAGATACCGAAATGTACCTACCAAAAATATGTCAGAAGCTTTATCTGTCAATTGCATTAACTTGAATACTAACATTTGATAGGGTGTGGATTCCCAAAAAATTTCGCACTGATTTGGGTTTAGTTAAAGTGTCAAATTCCAGTTCAGGTAGGTTCTGAAGCAGTGTTTGAAACTCACAGGCGCCAAATGCGCCTAAGAAATCAGTCATGCCAGAAAAAATGAAGGTTCTGCGCCAACCTGGCTCAAAAAATTGCCCCCTCTCAAAAATAAAAAAAAATCCCACTTTTTCTGTTTGGTGTTTTTTCGAAATTTCTCCCAACTTAGGACTACTAGTTCTGTAACTAAAACATCTTCCATCCACCTTTTCACTAAATGCGCCGTGATATACAGGCTAAAAGTCAATGTGGCCCCTAAAAAATCTTTTATGGCCCTTACAAATCGAACTTGATGCGCCACATGGCTCCTGAAATTCAAAGATGAGTTTCGAACACTGTTCTGAAGTCAGGTAGAAGGAAAAGAAAATTTTTCTAGACACCCTGACTGAGTTAAATTTTTGAATTGTGGTTCACAGCTCACTTTGAAATCTTCCAATTAATTTCAAATGATCAAATAATCTTGTGGAACTGATATTGATTTTTTATAGACCCAACTTAATAATTTTCCATACATTTTCAGGAGCAGTTGAGGAAGAGAGAAGCAGCACGAGCATGGAGGGATCAGCAAATTGCAAAACTGCTGTCACTTGGACCTCATCGATCTCAGAGTCAGGAGGAGCAATTGAAAGCGCTTAAATTAGAGAAAGAATTTGAGAGGCGAGCTCAAGAAGAAGAAGATGAAGAAGATGATCAAGAGAGTGCAGAAAGAGCGCAAGGACTTTTACGTCTTGCGCAGCAGCAAGACGAGAAAAGGAACAACACCGCCAACTCTACAATGAGTGGCCGACTTCAACCTCAGCAAAATTCAAATCATGCTCATTTGAACGGAACTCTATCAAGACCGACAATTTTGCCAAATTTGCCTGTGTAAGTTACTCATTTCTCTACGTTTGTTGCTCATTTCATTTCATGGCATCTCAATCAAGCTGAGATTAAATTTCTGAAATAGTGGAATCAATCTCCAAAAGTTAGGTAGTTTTTCCGGCCTCTTCCAGTATCTCTCTATAATTAATGTTATTGACTTTGCAAGAGGTCAGCATCTCAGCTTTTGTATGAAGCAAACATTTTTTTAACTCAGACAATTTTCTTGATCCCATCATTAAGTTTCCCCATGACAAGTGAAACTAAAAAACATACTCACCATGAAAATTTTATTTAAACGTGAGGCAAATAAATACATGTCTCATTAACACCTCAGAAAAAATGGAAAATTATGTACCCATCACACTGGCCCATCAGAACAAAGCTAAGCAAATCGTTCATCTGCTCACCGCACTTCAAGAATCAATTTTTCTTCTGGTTATTTATCGTGGTCTCCTTTAGAATTTTCATGTGTAATTTCTCTGTTCATCATATTAAATTGTCTTACTTCACAGGCCCCAGTATAACTACAACGGCTACAGTTCGAATCAAAACAGTCCTGCAGGAGACAAAGTTCAAACTCCATCCCAACGTCTTGACATACTTCATCTGAGCCCATCTCAACCACCGCAACCGCCCGAGCGAGGCTCGTCATTCGCAGTCATGTCCCAGTCCGTGAGCGCATTACGGTCGCCCCCCTCTCAGACGCTAAACAATCCTCACCCTCCTCCAGTTCAAAATAATAGGAACGAAACGCCAACCACCAAGAGAGTATCATTCCAGGAGACAACAACAACATTGAGCTCTCCGGCCGAAAGCATATCACCACCACCACCACCTCCGATCTCGGAGAAGGTCCGAGAAGATCCTAATGTAAGTATCGAGTTCAAAATATTTTCTGTAGTGCTCATCTCTGGTATTCATCATTTATAATTCCGAGTAAATCACCAAGATTGGAACTCAAAGGATTTAACCACACCGTTCTTGCAAGAGGAGTAAAAGCTCAAATTAATTAGACTGCATTTTGCATTTACAAACTACAATTTCTAGCTCACAGATAAAAGCACATATCTGCGTAGGTATACCAATAGCACATACATCATTTCTACAGTGAGCTAGAAATAGTAGATCCTCATTGCAAAATGTGGTCCTATTTTGAACATGTAGTGGCATTTGCTGAATTCTAGTATCTCATTTGGCATTGACCTGAGTTACCTGTACCAGTTAAATGCAGCGGAATCAAGTCAGACTAAGTTTAAGGCATGGAAAAAATGATTTGGGAATAGCTCTTAATTCAAGCAGTCATTTATTTGCTCCTGTTAATAATTATATGTTAAAAAAAAAAATATTTCGCACGTGATAACAGTTGTCAAATTTTTTACCTTAGGTTGAGTTTTGTGGAGGGCTAAAACTTCAAACTTCTATTTTATTTTGGTATGAACTCAGCAGAATTTGATGCGGCTCTGTCAAACTTTTTAAATAGCAAGCACCTCAAAATCTTAAAATTATTTAAACAGGAAGATAAAAGATATCTTTAATACAGACGTTTACAGTCTACTGAAATTGCTGCAAGGAAGTTGCTGAAGTTGCTGTTGTTTGGATATCTTCCTTGTTTTTAAGACGCAACAACCGTTTTGCAGATTTTAATATGTATGTTCTATCTTAGAAGACTTATTGACTTATCTTTCTTTTGAACAGCATTTCATTGATGAAGCTGAAACTCTGTTGGCCTCTCCAAAAAGTCCTGATACTTCCTTTACGGGATCTACACCAGGTGTTATTGGAGCGCAGGAAGTTTATAAGTAAGTAAATCTGTTTGAAAAATGAAGAAAGATTTCACTCACTTATGCTAATTCATTTCAACAAGAAAGATCATTATAAGTTAAGATATTAACTATTTGAAGCGTAGCCATCTACAAAAATTTTTATTCCATTGAACTTCCCTAAATCTATTCCCGCAGGAGATGCAGTTATTTTTAATAGACAGTTACATGATTTGAATGGGATTTTTATCGCAACCTCAGAATTTTTGTCAGTTTGGCAAATATATTATTAAAGTCAATGTCACCGTGCACAACATTTACCGTGTGTAAAAGCAGATTGCAAACATATGTGTGTGAAAAATGGGTCCTAACTTTATCTAATCTATTGAAACTATTTCGGCTAATCTGTTTTTTTTTTTTTTTTTCATTTCTCTTCCTGTACTCATTCCTGAAGCTAAAACAAATTTTATAGATTTGGTGGAAAACCTGATTATCTGATCGGCTGTACCCTCATTCAATGTTATAATAACTAAGAGAAAAAAGTGAGATTTTGGTACAGTTGAAGAGGGCAACCCTTCTCCCTAGCAAAATTGAATTTTTTTAAAATTATATTTATTTAAGATGAATTCAAATAGCTATTCTTATTTGTTACTAATGAAAATTAATTTACTCATTCTCTCTCACTCAATAAAGATCTTCAGACACGTGCAAGAGGCATCTGGTTAAAGCAATTAGCTTCTGTAAAACGTTCGAAAAGAAGTTGTTCCTGAACACTCTGAGAATGAGTTTATTAGAATTCGCCGTTTTTAGAGCATTTGTATTAAGACCTCCTCATTTCAAAGTTTGTCTTTAAAATCACTGATTGCAGATACAGTATACTCTCTCTGTATAAAGCATTGGCAACGGGCTGAAAAATTATTCATCATAGAGAAATTTTCGTCATAATGAGCAGTGCTGTGATTACGGAGGAAGTTGAACATACTGAAGGATTGTTTTGCTATAGGAAAATTTTTGATCTAACGAATGTCATTACAGATTACCTGTATGGGTACCTGTATTTGTATTGGAAGAGATTTATTACTTTGAGTAAAAAATGAGGTGCATCAAAAAAATAATCAATTGCTCTTTTCAAAATTTTCAGAGATCCACGGCAACGGAGACTAGCAGAACAACAGCATCAAAAACTGATGTCAAACCGTACAAGCACGGTTCCAGAGAAACTCAGTTTCAAAGAAAAAATGAAGATGTTCGCCATGGAAACAGGTGAAAACGGAACGCCAAGGGATAAAGTGAAAATCTCGAAAGCTCAACGAGAAATCGACAATTTAGGCTCTGGACTCACGCCAACCAGCAATAATTCAACAACTCCGGTGGCAGCTACGAATGGTAGTAGCACCTAGTCAATCAAAAGTGAATATGAATTGTGTCTTAAACTTTTTATCTGTCCTACAAATTCACTAGATTTGCAGAATCTTCAAAGAGAAATTTTTCTAGAATGAGTGATTTGAGTGAGCTTGACTTCACTTGAACAAATACTTTTTGACCAATTATTTCCTGAAAAGGACGCGATCAAAAGGAATTTCATTTCCCCGAGATATTGACTTATTTTTTAATAATTTGTAACCTGTCGACCAATTTTGTGCCTCTTCTTGCACTCAGTTTGTTGGGAAGATACTCTCTGAGTTTTGATGATTTTATTTTTCCACTTTTCATCCTCAAGTTTTGCTTCTCTACCATTCTTGCCACTGTAACTCTTCAAAATCGTGTCTGTAAATGTTATGTCATTTTGCTGGTGCTTAGTAAGTACAAATCTGATCAGGTACTTAAGAATATTGTTTTGATTAATTTCTGATTTCTCGGAACTCAAGGTAGAGGGAACAAAACGAGCCTAGAGATACAAACGTGTTAACAGTACTCAGGGAAAAAGCCCTGCTTAATCCTCTAATTTGTTCTTATGCGCAATAGGACTTAAAAACAGTCAATATTTTCATGTTATTCATTTTTTTGACTTACCCTAGAACCTCTGACTTACATTATGTATACTTAAAGTGAAAAAATATGTTAAATCTCAACCCTATGCGTTTAATCTCACTGTGTGTTGGGTACGATTTTATTCCCTGATCCACAACTTTTCATAGAGGTCGCTTTTAAATGTTATTCTCAACCTCTCATTCATTTATAATGACCCTCAATGATTTCAGTACCCATTTCTCAATTTTTCTCTGTTTTAATTTAGTAGTTCGAATGAAATGTCTGGACGAGTCGCTGCACCCTCAGACTTTAATTAAGCGCAGTTTTTGTCCCTGGTTAATGTGTTTTGTAGTTTTATAAGCTTGATATTCAAACAGGACCCCTCACTGAGAAATAATCATTTTTACTGTCTGAATTTCTCTAATACAGCATTTTGAGTTTTATTACCAGTGTAGATCTATAATATTTACGATTTTAACTATAGTTAATTAAGAAGGATAAATCGTGAATTGCTTGATTAAACTCTTTGATTTTCTCGTTGGGAAGCTAATGTAGCTGACTTTAATATTTTATGCATAAGTCAAAATTCCATTGAGACTGGGGCAGTAAAGGGAAAGAAAATTCTTATTATGAATTACTTAATTGCAGGTGTTCCTCTCCTGAAAAATTCTACCAAATTTTTATTGCTAGAAGTAGTAAAGTTCAACCAAAAAAAGAATAAAATTAATCAATTAGTTCATGAATGATTGAAGGATTGAACATATATCGAGTTTTTTTCTTTTTTAATTTTTCCTCTCTTTTTTCCCCATCATTTTATTAAGTTCTGATACTCAATTAAAATATTATTGATTATTGGCTGAAATCTAAATATTTTACCACCATGTTTCTCAATTGTATTTAAATTTCAAGAAAGGAAGTTGTTAAATCTTCAGACATTATGGTTTGAGTTAAATAATTATTGCTTTGTGATAAATGTCTAATATTGTTTGAACTCTGCAAGTTTATCAAGTTGATTTTAAGATATATTATTGAAACGAGCACGTTTTCCTTTATTTTCAAAGTAAAGTGATCTATTTTGTATAATAATGACATTAGAACTTGAATTAAATACCTTCTATCGTCTTTTTGTTAAGCTACCTATTTGTTTGCTTTACTCTCTAAATTTTGTTGAATAATTTTTGTATTATTGAATTATCCCTCTATCCCTTTTATTTGTATGAATGTAGTTAGTTTTTGCGTTTTATTGTAGTTTTTCTTTTAAATTTTATTTGCAGAAAAATTATCCCTTTGCTACTTAATTTTTATTTTATTTTTGATTAGCCATCCCCCATTTACCGTTATTCATTTTGTAAATACGTATAGTTATTGATTACATATTTTTACTTTTTCCTTTAATACTGTTGTAATTATTTCTTAAGACCTTTATTTTTCTAATCTTTATTTTTGTATACTCTAAATCGTAGTAGGTTGTTCCCACGAGCAAATTATTTGACTCATGTCTCCCATTGTAAACTTATTGCCTCGAGTAATATATTTAATTTTTATACCATGTTGTCAATTATCCGTTTCTTGTATAGTAGATTGGTAAATTATTGTATTTTATTATCAATTTGACCATAAGGTAGTGAATCAACTTTTGGCGATGAAGCTGTCTTTAATAATTTTATACAGGTAAAATAAGATATTTCTGTCGTTATTCTATAGTTTCTTTTGATTTCTTCTCTGCCGTGCTAAGAAAGAACGCTACATGAACATTCGATTCCTGCCGAATTTTCTTCGATAAAACATTTATTTTTTAGGAAATTTATGATTCTTTCTTCATGGATTACCAGATAATTTAGATTTAATCACGAGCAAAATCCTCTGAAAATTTGGAAGCAAAATGTTCACAAGTTTTCCAGAAAATTTTTACTGAACCAAAGGAAATTTGGCGACGTCTGAATACTTACAGCGTTCTTCCATAGCATGGCAGTGCTGAACATCGTTTTGGAAAACATGAGCATGATATGTAATTTATTAACATCAAAAAGAGATACTATACTATGGCTCCATTGTAAAAATGAATTTAATCAGATTGTAGGGCTCTTGTTGTACTCTTACAAACTCGTGAGTATGTTTATTTCTAAGTCACATTTTTACTCACAGAAAAAGATGGATTTTATCATTGTTGCTGGTACCTTTTTTTATTGATATCAACACTTGTTGATTGCGATTAGTGCTTTTAGAGTATTTTTAGCTTTTGTATCTTTTAAATCGCCTTGCTTATCTTTTTTTCTTTCTTTTCGACAATGTCGTTACTCATGATCCTTGTTTCATGGGATGAAGTTTCGTAATTGTATGTGTAATTGAGTGTAAATTAAATTCCAATAATTGAACAGTATTGTATTTAGTGCCATTCAGCCAAATTTGAGAAGCTGCCTCTGTCGTGACGAACAGTGGTGTTTTTGTAAGTAATTGTTTCTGCATTGAGTTGTGGTGAGTTTTTATTCTCATCAAATGCCGTCCAAGTATCTTGAGACTGAAGTGATCCACTGAATATTGCTTATCAGAGTCGTTTGTTATTTTAGCTCCTAATCTGTAAATTCTCACAAAGTGTAATTTTTGTTTCAGCAAAGGCAATAAACTTCGTGGGTACATCTGATAGAAGTATCTTAACTCTGTAATTGTGTGTAAAATTTAAGAAAAAAAATTTATTGGTTATTAATAAACCTTCCAAAATCTTTTATTATTGTGTAATTATGTAGTTACAAATTTATCATTGAAATTATTCTTACCTATAAATATATATTTGTAGTTAACATTATTTTTTTCTCTTTCATAGACTATTAAACTATATAAAGAATATTATTTATGGATCTTTATTTTTTTTAAATCATTTACTCCATTTAGTCCTCTATGATCACTTTTTTCACCACTTTCTAGTATTTTTTACAAAAATATTATACAGATAGATTTCAAAAGCTCCAGTCACTTAAGCTAGTGCATAACAAGTATAAAGGTAGTAACAGAGGAAGCCAAATTAAAACATGAAATGTGGCTGGATGTATGATTAGGGACCTGTTCCTACAGGAGAAAGTAACTTAACTTAATAAAAAGGCATAGAAGAATAAAGTCTGAGATTTTGGCGCAAGTTGGACCCTGAAAGCTTATTTCTGGGTTCAAATCGAAAGTTCTCCAATCCGGCTGAAACGAAGCTGCACCCCTTTGAAATGACTCAAGAAGTCGTATTTCCCCGTCGGAAAAGCTCCTTGAGTCCACTGACGCTTGATCGCGCCATCGGCGAAAAACGCGCATTTGATCAACTCCCAAAGAGGATCAAAAACACTAGTTTTGAACGTTTCTCGGTTTAGGAAGCTGCGGGGAACATCGGGACAAAGCGCAATTGACTCTACGCCTCGAACTCAGTGGGATTTGACATTATCGAGAAAAATCAGCTTAGTGACCATGGACAATATTTTCGGGGTCCAAAGGAAAGGAGTTTCTTAACTTTAATATGTTTCCTCTGGCCTATTTTAAGACAGTTTCTCGGCTTTTGAGGGGACTCAAGAGAAGATGACAATCAATTGGACATATTACATTAAACGGAACTAAGCACCAATTTGAGTTCCTTTTGAGGAATTTAGAATCCCGGATAGCGCGTTCTGTCAAACGGACCTAAGCACCATGGAAAAGCATTGCGAGTATCGGACAGAATCAGCCGGTCGCCCGATTCCGCCGCCAATCCGAGCCCCCCCTCTACCTTTCCCACCCTATGGCGCTTAGGTCCGTTTGATAGAAATACGTCCAATTTATGATGGATAGAGTTGAAAAATACGTAGCTTCAACTGTGGCTTCGGAATTCTCCACTCATAATTTAAGTTTGATAGAAAAAAAAATCGAATTTGGAAAGTCTCGTCATGTAAATACAGAAGATTCAAAAAGGCCTTCAATTGAGGCGTGATACCTCACGCGTTCCGGAGAGTTCAAATAGTTGCATCCCTGCGCCTTAGCTAGACGATGGAAGTTTAATATTGAAGTAGCGTCCCCGTTTGGTTTTTCGGTTTTCCTGTGCCGCTACTACAGTTTCGACCGTTCAGGCCGTAGTTTAAGGGCGCTAAAGCCAGGATTGTATTTCGGAAAAAGAAAATTTTACCAGAATAATTAAAAATTAAGAAGCAGGAATATTTCAACTAAATAATAAAAGGAACTCAAATCTACAATATAATGCAAAAAAAAATTTGGAAAATCTCGTCATGTAAATACATAAGATTCGAAAACGCCTTCAATTGAAGCGTGATACCTCACGCGTTCCGAGGAGTTCAAATAGTTGTATCCCAGCGCCTTAGCAAGGCGATGGAAGCTTAATAGTCCAGGCGCCTGGTAAGTCTACCTGGAATTTTGGGTACACAGCGATTTTTTTGGCTTACGTTTTGTTTTTTGGGCCGTTGAATCCGAATCTGAAGTTTCCTGCCGCGTATCTGGTGAGCATTTTCCGCCATTTTAAAAAAATGGACTAAAAAGACTTTTTTTTGCGGTTTTTTTTTTTTTATATAGCGGCTACGCATGAGAAAAAGTCCCGGATTTAGTCAATGCTTTGAATAGCTGACAAAATTTGGAAGAAAATGGTATATAAATATGCTAGGATTGCTCAAAAATTGAGGAACCTCGGATCTCGGAACTTTGGAACGCTTCGGAACTTGGCTGACCGCGGCGAGCCGGATCGCGCGTTGACGGGTGCGCCGCGAAAACGTGAATGGGCGCGATGTTCACGATGCTGCATCTTCCTCAATTTTTAAGCAAATGTCGCATATGTATACACCTTTTTCTTCCAAATTATGTCAGCTATTTAAAACATCAACTAAATCCGGGACTTTCTCTCATGCGTAGCCGCTAAATCAAAAAACCGCCAAAAAAGGCCTTTTTAGGCGATTTTTTCAAAATGGCGGAAAATGCTCACCAGATACGCGGTAGGAAACTTCAGATTCGGATTCAGCGACCCAAGAAACAAATAATAAGCCAAAAAAATCGCTGTGTGCCCGAAATTCCAGGTAGCCTTATTTTTAGCTACCAGACGCCTGGACTAAACGTCTATGCTTTAATTAAACAGGGGAAAAAGAAGTCGGGGTATAGGAACCCTCGAACAAACAAAAGCAGACCCGAAATGTTACAACCCTGGACGTGAATGGGCCCGAAGAGGTAACAAGGCACTGTCGCGTACTAAGTGACAATTACTGTTATTATCAGCTCGGCAGCAGCACATTCAAATAATGTATTTTGCCACATCTCGGAAAAATCACGGCAGATTTTAAAGTGTTCATGTTCTTTTACTCGTTCAAAATAGACAGTGGAAAAGTTGCAACGTCGCAAATTGAGGTACGGACTTTGATGAGAAAATGTGTAACTGCGAAAGCGTCAGAGTGTAATATCAGTGGTAATCGTGATCTTTCGCCATCAAGTCGAGGCGATACTCTTGAAGGCGCTCTGAGCAACTATACCACCTCGGAAGTATTGCACAGTATCGGACGGAATTGAAGGCGCACTAACGTATGTAAATTCACTGGAATCCGTAGAGTCCTATAAATCCTGTGATATGCGACTCCTGTTGGAAATGGAATAAAAAAAGAAATACATGAATAATTAAAAAAAAAAAACAAACAAACAAAACAAACAGATTCATTTCATAACGGTTGAAGAGCGAGCCGATATCGAGGTATAAGTTAGCTGAGAGTACATCGATTTGAAACTGAACTTAAAAAGGATAGACTCCTCTATCGCAAAGTCGGATAATTTCGAAGGCACCAAGATAGTATTCTAGACCACATACGCCATCTGGGATTCTTAAATTTTAAAATTTTGTTTGAAAATTCGACCTCTATGTGAAAAACATCCATTGCCGCCAAGGCTTACAAAAAGGAATCAAACAGGTGCCGAGATAGCATCTTAGACCACATTCACTATCTTGAATTTTTGAATAATGAAAATCTGAGTTGAAATTCAGGGTTTCCGTCAAAAAATACCACGTGGTATTGAGTTTCAAAAAAATTGATCGATCAGGAGTCGCATATCGTACGATAAACGCTACCAGTCAAGTTGCCTACGTTAGTGCGCCTTCAATTTCGTCTGATACTGTGCAATACTTCCGAGGTGATATAGTTGCTCAGAGCGCCTTCAAGAGTTTCGCCTCGACTTGATGGCAGAAGATCACGATTGCCGCCGTCAATACACTCCAGGACGTTTCTTGAAACTCGGTACAAGGTGGCATGTTTTGACGGAAACCTTGAATTCCAACTCAAATTTTCATAATTTAAAAATCCATTATACTGGATGCGGCCTAAAATGCGATCTCGGAGCATCAGACATCAGAGCATCAAACGCCATCAGTCAATTTGCCTACGTTAGTGCGCCTTCAATCTCGTCTGATACTGTGCAATACTTCCGAGTTGATATAGTTGCTCAGAGCGCCTTCAAGAGTATCGACTTGACTTGACGTCAGAAGACCACGATTGCCGCCAAATTACACTCTAACGCGTGCGTAGTTACACATTTTCTCATCACCGACGGTGAAATAAAAAATATCCATACCTCAATTTGTGACGTTGCAACTTTTTCACTGCCTATTTTGAACCAGTAAACCAATATGAACACTTTAAAATCTGCCATGATTTTTCCAAGATACAATAAAATATATTATATGAATGTGCTGCTAGCGAACTGATAATAACAGTGCGATTGTTCAATTTGAATGTTTCATTTACGTCTATTGTCTAAATAGTCCAGGCGCCTGGTAAGTCTACCTGTAATTTTGGGTACACAGCGATTTTTTTGGCTTACTTTATGTTTTTTGGGTCGCTGAATTCGAATCTGAAGATTCTTGCCTCGTATCTGGTGAGCATTTTCCGCCATTTTAAAAAAATGGACTAAAAAGACTTTTTTTTGCGGTTTTTTTGATATAGCGGCTACGCATGAGAAAAAGTCCCGGATTTAGTTAATGCTTTGAATAGCTGACAAAATTTGGAAGAAAGTAGTATATAAATATGCTAGGATTGCTCAAAAATTGAGGAACCTCGGATCTCGGAGCTTTGGAGCGCTTCGGAACTTGGCTGACCGCGACGAGCCGGATCGCGCGTTGACGGGTGCGCCGCGAAAACGTGAATGGGCGCGATGTTCACGATGATGTATCTTCCTCAATTTTTAAGCAAATGTAGCATATGTAACACCATTTTCTTCCAAATTATGTCAGCTATTCAAAACATTAACTAAATCCGGGACTTTCTCTCATGCGTAGCCGCTCTATAAAAAAAACCGCAAAAAAAGGCCTTTTAAGGCGATTTTTTCAAAATGGCGGAAAATGCTCACCAGATATGCGTTAGGAAACTTCAGATTCGGATTCAGCGACTCAAAAAACAAAGTAAGCCAAAAAAATCGCTGTGTACCCGAAATTCCAGGTAGCCTCATTTTTAGCTACCAGGCGCCTGGACTATTATATTGAAGTAGCGTCCCGGTGTGGTTTTTCGGCTTTCACGTGCCACTACTACAGTTTCGACCGTGAAGGCCGGAGTTTAAGGGCGCTAAAGCCGGGATTGTACTTCGCAAAAAGATAATTTATGCATAATAATTAAAAGTTAAGAAGCAGGAATAATTTAAAAATATAACAAAAAGAAACTCAAATCTACAATAAATTGCAAAAAACTAACGTAGTTGAAGGGAGCCAGGGATGTATTTCGCAAATGAATAGTGTTTGCAGAATAATTAAAAATTGAGGAGCAGGAATAATTGAACTAAATAATAAAAGGAACTCAAATCTACAATATAATGCAAAACAATTTGGAAAAGCTAGTCATGTAAATACAGAAGATTCGAAAACGCCT